CCCCCCACCACACCTCACTAAAAAAAAAAAAGTACAGCATACACGCCTTATTCTCGACTACTCCTAACCCCCCCTTAGCTTGCGTGGTCCGTAAGGCAAATCCCATGGATTACGAGGCACATCTCCATCTCCCTCACTCTCTGTATCCTCCGTACTGCCTATATCACTCGAATTATCTACATCTCCTTCGTCCCCTTCTCCTCCAGTATCCTCACCCTCCTCTGCTGCAACCTCCTTCCCCATTGCCTTCTGACCTTGTATCTGTCTTTGTGCTCGCTTTCTATATCTTGTAGGCGGTCGAGGCTTTGGTGTAAAGGGTTTTGCAGATGCGGAGCGAGGCTTTCCAGACTTGGTAGGATTGGCGTTGAGTCGATGGAAAGTACAGACTTTACCGTCGTCATTATATCTGCAATTTGTACAAGCGCCATCGAATTCGCCTTCCATAACTACGCAGCGTTTGAAAGGGCCCCTCGGTCTCTTCTTATTACTACAAGTAGCACAAGCTTGAGAGGATTCGGTTCCGCGAGTATATGCCAAGCTTGCCTCCAGATTTGCCTTGCCTTTCTCCAATCCCTTTAGCTCCCTGCCCTGGCGTAGCTCTATCTCTCTAACTTCAGCCTTGTTATTGATTCGCTTTGCTACTTCAGTAGCATTATCGGGTAGTACAAGGAGATCAAAGTATTGTTGCGGAGGAGGAGGAGGAGGTCGTGTACGAGGAGGAGGTCGAGGAGCAGAGGGGTTTATTGGTTGAACGTATCGACGGGAGAGGATATCGTGGACTGAGTCTGGATTATCGGAGGGCATATCGTAAATGTCATCTTTCCGCTTGTTCGCAGCTTTGTCGCCTTTTCTACCGCTTTTGCCTTTGCCAGAGCCGCTGCCTGAAGCCATATTTGATGTGTCTTTGATGAAGGAGAGCTTTGATAATGGCGTTGTATATCGGAATCGAAGTTGTTTTCGGAAGGAGGTTGAGGTTGAGGTTGAGGCTAAGGTTAAAGCTAGCGTGGCTATGTCTTTGTTATTCACCTTTGGGGCATGAAGATATATATTTAATATAATTATTTAAATCCGAATAAATTTATAACAAATAACGCCTGAAAATGGAAATATTAGTGCTTAATAGCCCTAGGTTAAGTGTATTTAAATATTAAAAAAATTATAATTTTAGGTATTATAGTTATAAAGATAAAGATATAAATATTCTTTCTCTTACTAACTCGCAAAAGCTAAGGCATGCTAATAATAATTAAACTGTACTCGACCCGCATGGTCAGCTGATTTACTTCGCTAATTATAAATAATTCGAGGTAATTTAAATCTCCTCAAATCTCTGTATATAGCTTATTATACAAACTTCTATATCTCTATATTTAGCAACACCATAATTATAATTTTTGGATGAGAAGAATCCCCTTATTCTAGCGTATATAATCATATTTATTTCTTATTTTTCGAATGTGTGGTTGTTAAATTAGAGAGGCTCAAGAATTCTAAGCGATACTTTCTCCTGAGAGGTGTATATCCTCAACGAACAGCAAAAGTGAATATGGAATTGCACAATGACGCAACTACCCCGCACTAGTGACTTTATTTTCTATAAAACTATGACTCCATTCCATCTTCGCTCCAAAACCTCCATCCTTCTTCCATATTTTTTCGACTTCGCCATCAACACCAAGAGCTTCTGCCCTCCACCAATACCTTCTCCATTAATACCTTTATTAATACCTTTATCAATACCTCCATCAATACCAAGAGCTGGCATCTGACTGCCTTACAACCTTCCTCTCCTCCTCCTCACCCCTCCTCACCCCTCCTCCTCACCCCTCTTCCTCACCCCTCTTCCGAACCCCTCCTCCTTCGACACTTCTTCCATCAACACCAAGAGCTGGCATCTGACTGCCTTACAACCTTCCTCTCCTCCTCCGAACCCCTCCAAACCCCTCCTCCGAACCCCTCCTCCTTCGACACTTCTACCAACAACACCAAAAGCTGGCACCTGACTGCCACTTCCGGGTCACTTTTATCCAGAACTCCCATACCATAAGTCTTCAACCCACTTGCTCCTTAGAAAGCTAAATTTTAGATCCCTCCTCCCCTTCTCCGACATCTCCTTCTCCCCTTTTCCGACACCTCTTACGCCTTCGGGCCCTTTGGGAGTACCCTCTCTCGAACTTCCAAAAAAGAGGCTAACTCCTGTTTAGATCCCTCCGAACTTCAACACCTCCTCCCCTCCTTCGACACTCACAAAAGCCTTCGGGCCGCTGCTAAGTACCCCCATTCTTTGTCTTGGAATATATGCTAACTTATTCTTGTAGGAAATAGCCCTTCTCCCTCCGATCTCGACTCCTTCAATACATACTCCTCGCCTTCGGGCTATTTAGACGTCTCCCCGTTCGCTTTTACGGAACATATGCTAACTTACTTTTTAGTTCCCCTCGCCTCACCTCTCCTTCGACGTCACCGTGTGTGTGCCTAGTTGGCACTGGTTCTTACAGCCCATAGTTGGGCTTTCCATTTGTCAAACACCCGGGTGTTTTGTTTTACTTTTGCTTTGCGTATTTTGTTTTGCGTGCTTTACTTTCCTTTTATTATGGGTTGGGACTCAAATGGTATTTACCTTGAGCGCTCGCACTCTCGGGCATGTAAGACTCCTACAGATCTTTCGGGATCGTAAACCAGCCTACTTTGGTTCGGGGGAGCTTCCTCGAGAGTGTTCCAGGAGTTATGGTATTTACCGCGACCCCTCCCAAAGATCAATATGGCGTGGGTATTTCTGGTCCATTCTCTCTCTGTGGAGCAAACCGCTGCCCTAAGTCCATACAAAAGTCCCAATTGTCCCTCGAGTTAAAGCATGGGCACTCCTTATTCCTATTAAATTAGGTGCAAAGGACAGCAGGCGCCTTCGGGCTAGACTGCAGTGCCAGTTAAGTGCTAAGACTCCCTGTACCTATCTCGCAAACTTGTAGTTCGAGACATGTTGCATTTGACGGGGCTTCCATATCCAATTGCTTTGCGCTGCAGTAAAACGTCTTGGCATTGCAGTTGGGGGAGTTCTGCTTTGTAATCTTGTCTACTACTTGTAGATTTTCTAGCTAATAAGTCTTGGCCGATGGCTAAGAAACTTATTAGCTACTCTGTCTAAAGCCTCTGGGAGCGGGAAGTTGCCTTGATAAAGACTCAGCGTCAAAAATAGGTTCAACTGATCAATCCAAACGAGGAGTTTATGGCAGGAGTCTCTGCGTATGGGTGATTCCATACAACGAACTCAAGTCCCTGTCCCTGGTTGTACGAGTGAGCCGTACAAGAAACTCTTTCTGGCCTATCGGAGCAGTCCCTGTCCCTGGTTGTACGAGTCGTGACGTACAACAAACTCAAACTTTTCTTGGGTTATCTTTGGAAGAATTGGCAAGCTTTTCTAGACAGACTCATTGAGGCCTTGGTTTTCAAAGGTGTCAGTCCAGCCTTCTCACTCCCCCCTTGGGTGATAGTTCGGCTCTCAGGAATCGTATGCAAACGTCGGAACGAATGAGGAGACGTACTGCATGCGCTTTCTGGATAGATTGGGATGGAACCTATGGGATTCCCGCGATATTTTTATCAAATCTATGGCACTGGCTGGCGAAGACTTTGATAACCTTAATGAGACTTGAATTGCGAGCCCGGCCCTCAGATTTCCCGCTCAACTTGAAGGTTGAGCAGTCCACAACAGGTTGCCTGTTGTGGAACGTATTACACTCTTTTCCCAAAGAGTGCCGGGTGCCAGTAATGGTCCGGAAGCCCCAAAGCCCTTGAGACTCTTCGTGAGTTTCGGGCTTTGGGGCTTTTCTACGGCCAGCCGATTGTATGGAGTCACGTGACCACGCGGGTCCGGCATTGATATAAAGCAATTGGCAACTTTGTACATAGATATAGTATGGTTTTTAGTATAGCTAGTCTAATACATTATATATCCATATGTAAATGCCTGCAATTTCATTATTATAACGTAATATATCCTTGATATAAAAATCCCTTTGCAACCCTAGACTTTTAGGAGCCTCCTCTATACCAAAGGCAGAGTATATAATGCTGTTTGGGCATTAAACTCAAAAGGCAAAGGATTATAAAGGCCCTAATAATCGCAAGACTTTGTAAACTTGGGTGGATTTGAGTATCATAAAAGCATTGAATTTAGCAGCCTGACTTTTAAATTGCATGAGAACTAATCAAAGAGCATTGCTTTAAAGCATCAATCATAAATTCCAAGTGCATACATATCCGCAAGGAAATAAGACCCAAAACAGCACTAAGCTAATTGCAAGACATAGGAAAAAGCACATTGGATATCAGGCCCATTTTTTCTCAACTACCTTGACCTCGGCGGACATTCATGCGTAATTTATCGGACCTTGTACGATGGGTTCGCTCAGGAGAAGTAAGGTCAATTGGCCTGGGGAGTTCAACGATGATAGTTGGACTTCCGTCCGGGGCAACAGGCGGAGTGCTGGCAGTGGCCCGGGTGCCTTGGGTTTCACCCGCAAAGCTAAAGACATTATGCCCGTTAATTCTCTGTATCTGATGAGGAAGAGGGGTAGCATATTCATACCTCTGACGTGCCCGTTGCTGCGGAGTAATGCTTACACGGTCCATGAGATCAACCATAGTCCCCTCTGCTGGAGGAGAGGATGGTAAAATTGAAGGAGGATCTGATAGCCCACTGCTATTATTGTCATCGTTGCCATTGGGATTAGCTTCGGCAGCACTTTCAGCAGCACTTTCCGCATTATCTTGCGGCTCCCAGAGGTCGGCAAGTGGAGAAGAATCCTGGCACGTATAAGTTAATTAAACCTAAAAACAAAAAAGGGTCTATAGAAGGAACAAAGAGTAGGAGCCAGAATTAAAGGAGAGGATTATACATACGCCTTCATTTGCCCACCGGTTTATCAGATCCCTCCTTGCTCTCAAAGTCTCACGCCTGCGCTGGCGGGCAATGCTCTCCTGGGCTCTCTGGGCCTCCTCAATCTGTTGTTTGATCTCCTCAAGTTGCTGCGCCTTCTGAGCATTTTCCAGCTCTTCACGAGCAACTTCAAGACGGAGATCTTCGTATAGAGTCTCCTTCTGAGCATTTTCCAGCTCTTCACGAGCAATTTCAAGACGGATATCTTCGTATAGAGTCTCATCCTGGTACAAAACAAGGAAAATCATCCAGACGCCCTTAGGGCCCAGATACATGCCGCAGCGGGAAAGGTCAAAGACAGTTTGAATAGAACCTGGCAAGACCGTAAGTTCCTGGGCTCTTTTACTATTGGGACCAGTACAGAACACCAGTTCATTCGCATTGTCAATAAATTGACGATGGCGGGTAGGTCCGCCAATGCGGAGAGAGAAGTGAGGGAGTAGCTGCTGAGAAACTACATCGGAAAGGGTAGAAAAGACTCGATTATTTATTTCAAATCGAAAGCCACCTATCAAAAAACATCTATTAGAATTCGTATAGAGAATCTAGTAAAAGAAATAGGAGAAAACTTACCACCGACTTCTTCAGAAAGTTGGATGGTTCTTTGCTCAGCTCTCCAATTCTTCATATCATCAAATGCCCACTTGCGGAGAACTAGCTGTAAAACCACGGTCTGTGATTCCATAAGACTAGATCCGGCCACATTTTGATTCATGAGACCTTGAAGGGCTCCAGGTAGCCTATTACCGGCATGAGGAGCTACGGCCTGGGCAGCGGCCTGAGCAACTCTCGCATTTGCAGCCCGTTGAGCTTGTGCAGCAGCATAAGTACTACTGGAAGAGTGGTTAGGTCGAGCAACATGGCTCGCAGCAAAAGGGAATACGGAAGGGAGTAGTTGTGGGGCCATTGGAGCAGGAGGAGCCTGGGGTGGAGCAGAACTAGCACCTGGCGGCTGTATAGCGACAGCAACTGGAGGAACAGGTGCAGTAGACATTCCTGGAAGAAAAGATGCGGGATGAGGATGCTGAGAAGAGCTAGGGATCTGAAGTGTCCCAGGTACAAAGAGGGGGGCAGATGCGGACGGAATTCCAGAGCCATGAGGTTCAAGTCCACTGGCATTGCTGCTCTGGGCAAGTAAAGCGGCGGCCTCTGCATCATATTCGTCGTTGGTAGATCGACAGAACTCGCAATATTGGATATTGCCATGCCAGCGTTCGGCCGCGGGGCGTGCAGTATTGGGGCAGGTTTTGAGAAACGGTGGTGCCATTTTGAGAGGTAAGAATTTGAGGGTATAGAATATTCGTATAGTAGATAAACTTGACAATTCTATCAGTGCTGCTCTCAAAAGTAAGAAGGGGGTTTCGAAAATAATATATTCAATAATAAACGACACCCATCTTGACATACCTAGTCACTCCGCAACCGGCTCGTTCAACCACCCCATATCGTCAGGAGCATCACCAATAAAGGGCCATTCCTGGGTAAAGTCCTGGACCATTGGGAACTGTACGGGTATCCTTCCGGCCTGTATATTGTTCACATACTCTGCATTTGTCAGGACAACTTGCTTGAGGATCCCATTCCGCGCAATAGCGGTATCGTATCCACCAGTCGGCTTCTCGGACTCTCCCAATATCGGCAGCTGCCCTGAGGCTATATGTGCCCGGACTGCATATCGGAGCTGGTGGTAAGCTTGAACATGCAGTCGGTCGCCGTTTCCATCGGCATCTCCCATGCGAATATCGGCCATATTCACACCGTAAGACATGAGCTTCCAATAGCACCACTCCAGCGTTTCTCTCGGCAGAAACTCGTTAATATCTATGTTGGCATGTGAGTAAACTGTCCGTGCAGAGCTGTGCGAGGTCACATTACTCACCCCAAACTGAGCAATCATCAAGGATTGCATCGCAAAGCTCCATATCTACAGGGCGACCCCAGCGCTGTGCCCCGCCTGGGGGCCTCGTATATAGTCTGAATGGCTTGCCGGCTACCATATTAGGCCTAGATCTGTCTTTTCTGATCCTGTGGATGTTCCACAAGTCCGCGAACCTATGCACCTCGTTTTGGATCCGCCGCATGTAAAGTGCCAGCAGAGCAATCCGGTCCCATGGGTATTGGTGATTGTAACCCCCGGTGTGGGCCAGTTCCTGAAAGTAGTTCTGTATATGCCAATCGGAATTAGTTATATGATCCGGCGCCATGACACTGGACCTGATAGCCTTGACAAAAAGCGGTGTGATCATTGGTACCCGATACTCCCTCCCAATAATAGAAAGAACGAGGGGCAGATGTAGGGAAACGGAATTGCTCACGCGCCACCGGTACAGCTGGCTCTTCTGAAGCTCCTGCCACCAGGATTCAACCCGCTGATTCTCGGTGCTTTTCCCAGAAATAAAGCAGTCCTCCACGCGCACAACTGACGGATCGGCTATCCGCGAGAATGCGAAGTGTGCTTCGGCAACAAGGGGGAGTTCAGAGCCTCGATCAGCCCTAAAGAAGTGAGGGCAGTAGCCCATTTGAGCACAAATCTGAAGATACTGCTGTACAACCGAATGGGCAGTCCGATTGGAGATTCCGACATACACCCAGATGATATTACGTGAATAAGCATCGATACAAGCGTATATCTCGATCCCAAATGGCGACAGCTTGTCGTGTCCATCAATTGACCAAATCCAGTCCGGCCCAGGCACAATATATTCTCCCTTCTTGGACTGCATCCGTCGCATTCGTAGTGCAATTGCCTCGGGATCCAGGAGTCGTAACATCGCATATAAGCTCTCCCTGTAGACAACAAAATACGTCAGTAAACAAGGCCCTAACCTTCCAAGCTGGGGCGAAACAGTGAAGTGTAGAAAGACTGACCGGGTCACTAGTAAACCTTGTTGACGGAAGTACGCGTGCAAATGCCGCCGTCCATAACCTGCAACCCGCCCATCATTCAGCTCACTCTGCAGTATTGCAAACAGTTGCTCGTCCGCCGCTTGCCTGTCCATTGTAGTCATGCGGCGAATGAGACCAAGCTTCTTGCGTATGCGGACGACTCCAGTAATTGAAGCTGTATAACCGCAATCCTCAAGATCCTCAAGCATTTCCTCATCTGTATCTCCCAGACGATACAGGATTGCAATCTGCGCGCGAAGGAAAGGCGTATCTGCTGTTTGAGTACGTGTTTGGACGTTCCATTCTTGCAGTCGCCGTCGGACCGTACGCGGATCGACTGAGATTCCATATAAATCTTTTAATCTATTCGCAATTTCTTCTTGATTAACGTTCGTACGAGCCCATTCAGTAATAGCTTCGCGATATGGCAATAGATTTATTGAAAGTCGTGGCATTGTTTTGATGAAATCCACCAAGTTATTTTGATGGGGGTTAAGTTCAGGGCACGCTTCACTGTCGCGACGTACTTTCTAGCGACGTGAGCGCTAAAAAACTCGAGCAACGTTACCCCCACGTGATTTTGTCAATTAATTGCCAAAAAAAAGTAATCAGCCGGCTTCTCAGTTATTTTAACAGTTTAATTTTCTCATTTCTAACCTCGGGAACGTTGAGGAAGTCATTAGACCCTGTTAATAGCGTCATCCTAGAAGGGCTTACAGCCTGTGGTCACCTGACCACAGTAATTTGCAATAAATACTCAATTTTACATTATACTACCCGGCCCAATTTTGGCACGATTTCACGCGGTAGTATGGGCTCTCACTTCGTTAATTAGACAAGCAAGCAGCCTTACTATTGTTGCGTTATCCAAGCCGAAAGTCACGTGTGGGTGCTATACCCCTAATTAGGAATTCTGCCTTGGGGAGGAGGGGGGG